ATTAATTATTGTAACATTGAAAAGTGGAACGTCAAAAACCATTTCATTTGACACTGAAACTTTTTTTATATCTAAAACCGTATCAACATTGTTAGGTCGTGCAATGTTCGCACTTAATTGCCGAACCGTTACACGATCTTTAGAATTTCGAAACCGAAAATAAAGCACACTTAGATTGTTTCGTAATGACTGTATTTACAAGTTGTGTGTTTGTGTGCGTGTCTGTGTAATGTTCACCGGGTGAGTTCTGGTTTGAGTCTGATTTTCGTGTCTCGTCGCTTCCTCCAAATTCGCTGAAGGCGTTACCAAACCTCGCTTCCTTATTGGTTATGCCCTGAAGGGGAATGCAAATTTCTCGGTTTTTCCACGTGACGTGGAGGTGGAAAACCTCTCCTTCAGGGTGAAGCGGACGTCGGTAAAATATCGCGCACGTGGTCACGATGCGAGTTGACCGCGACGAAGCTTCGAGTCTCTCAACGGTACGGTTCATAGCCGTATTGTCTGCGAGTCAGCGCGCCCCGGTAAGGCCCGGCGCGGATGGGTCCCAGGTTACCGAGCGCATATGGCGGACTGCAGACCAAATGTTCGCTCCTTTTGTCTATTACTCTCTTTGTGTTAACGAAATTGACATTGCTTGAACGAAGGAAATAAAATAATAAAAGATAACGGTAATGTCAGATTCTAAAGCCGTCGTTTCAGGTCTACGACGGAACAAACATTATGATACTGGTCGATTGAACTGTTCGGTTATTTCCACCGCATTCCTTGTTCATGAATGAAAATTGAACGTAATCTATAACCGATACACTTTCACCCAAGCGATGCAACGCATTCGCATGTGCGATAAGGTGTAAAAAAGAGAAATCATCGGTCATGGTCGATTTAACAGTAAAATGAATATCATACATGCCTGTGTGTGTCAAGAAGCATCTCCCTTATTCGTATTGTGGGTAGAATAATATGATAGGAGCCAATCGACAAATTACCAAAGAACATTACAGATAAGCCACGTTCACCTTAACGGACTTTCTGCCAGCTCTATAAAAGAGACGTGCACCTTCTAGGTGGTCACAGTCAAAGCTAAAGTCCTAATTAAACCGCACACAATGTTTCGATTGATTTTTTCTCTCTTCGTCGCACTGGCACTGCTTCAGGCCGTTTCTGCCATCGACATTCTCAAGCACAAGATCGTCCAATTTGTATCCAATGGAACGCAAAAGGTACTTATGTAAAATAAACTTAGTGAACGATCACAACATTTTCCAATGATACCATCGGTCACTCGTGGGAATTAATAAACTGGTTCACATATGGAATAACATTATCCTAGAATAGAAGCAATATCTACACGGACCGTATCGGAAATGGTAGTACGACCGTAAGAACGTAATTCTTCGTAATAAAATTAGGCAAAAAGTAGAAGTGAAGTTATCTCATATGTTTTTTGGTTTAAAAGATAAGTGAAATTAATTACTGTTTGAACAATTAAGGGATAATGCGATTTCGTTAGTGCATATGACCAGCAATTCTGTTACTGCTTGCTGTGAACGGTTGAAGTTACACTGTTTAACAAAGTTAACTTTTCTCTATCTCATAACCGTTAATAGGCGTTTCTGATAGATCTTTTATGAACTAAATACGAATCTGCAAACCGTTTTTCTTCCGGTGTCAAAATCAACTAAATAACTGTTACTGTAAAAGCACAACACACATCCGAATTTGAGAACTTGCAATTTTCGTTTGAAAATTTCTGTGTTCAAAAACTACGTGCTGGGAAGAAAACAGATCGCAGATTCGTATTTGGCCCATAAAAATCTATCAGAAACGCATACTGAAGCTTATGAGATCGAAAAAAAGTTAAAACTTTTTGAACAGTGTTATTAGACTGTGAATGTTTTTGTATCTTTATTAGTGGAATGTAAAACTAAGTTGTGTTTTCAAATGTAAAACTAAGTCATATTTTAAAATGATGTGAACACTTTACTGCTTCGATGAAGATATTTTACCTTGAACCAATTAAATTTTATTATTATCCCATTAACCACATATGCTTTGTAAATAATTTCGTATCGGAGCCGAACAAATTTTACATATTTACTGTATCATGTTTTACGATAGCTTGGTGTTGTTGAAGGGATCTACCCCGGATTTATTGGAGACATCACTGTCGGCAAACGTTCTGAACACTGCGAACTTACTAGCATTCTCGAACTCCATGTGGGCAATCCCTGGGACACAGTTGAAAGCATGAATTACAACCTGTCCGAGAATAATGGTAAACTTCCTTATTCGAATTTTCTTTTCATAACTCTTCACAAACAAATCGATTACCGACCTACTAAACTTCATAAATAACAAACGATAAATTAATGGTAAAAGTTTTTTATAAAAAAAAAAATTAATTTACAGTCTCTTGGCTTCTTTAACTGATACTTTGAGAACATAAAATTACTAACGTACACATAGAAAAATATGTATTGTATTATATCTCATCAGGCAAACAGCACTTGAAGAAAATCGAGTGACTTATTCTAAACTTCCAGAGTGGTGCAAAAAAGTTTTGATGATCTGTGTATAGAATATGTAAAGAAGGATCTATTTAAATGAATATCATAATACTTATAATTTTTTCCTAAGACAGTTTCGAATACGAGTACATATGGAGTGTTTTTACGATTTAGTCTTTTATTCAGCCTATTTCAAATGTTCACGGGGCATGATCGATCTTTTTATAAGAAACGTATAAACTGTCGAAAGACGTCGCTTATTGTGATTTATGGGACGGCGATTTTTCCGTAAACAGAGGTGTTTATACGACTGTTCTTTCGCAGACGTGTTCGACTACGTGAGCGTAATAAACATTCCGGGAAGCTATGCAGTGATATGCTATGATCCACACAACTTGGGAACAACTCAGAACGTCATTTCCATACGAGTGCTACCAAATTCGACAAATATAATAATTGTGACCACTATCACGCACTGTTAACTCTACGGTCTGACATAAAGTGGAATTAAGTTTAATCAAACGGTTTATGTAACGAGCACAATGCGTCCGTCTACCGTGACTACTTAAAATTATGGATCTACTTGATGTACATATCTGAAGACACTTTATCGTGGAATGTGGTAACGTTGATAATTCCCGGCTCAATAACGACGAACCAAAAAATTGATCGAGTATTGCACTTCATTAATGAATATACATGTACATAATTAGAGATTTAAAGAGAATAAATGTTGCATATTTCTTGATAAGACCCAGTTTTTTAAATATCCTTTATCAAAATCTTCGTTCAGAACTACGGAAGACAAGGCACTTAATATTTTTCACGACACAACTAGAATTTTTCAGGACAAGAAACATATGAAATTATTTTATTTTGGATCACAGACGTTCATTTCCAATCGAGATTGAAGGTATTCTTGTTCTGAAATCGAAGCTACAACTTCGGTCATTGCATTATACCACAATTAAATTTAGTAAGGTTTTTCTTTTATTTGCGATCTAATAGAACCTTTAATACAGTAAACAAATTTTTGTTTGTTTGTAGCTTCTGTAAGTAAATTCTAAAATATAGATATTTCTATAAAGATCCACAGTCTAGTAATACTTTATTGAACTTCGACTTAATAGCGACTGGCATTTCATAAACGACGAAGATTCGACGCTTCGATTAATGGGTCCAGTAGATGCGCGAACCCTTTGCCTATCTAGGTACACTTGCGGTCCATTTCCATAGCCGTCCTCACCCCCATACTCTGTACAGTGCATGTACCGCACGATTGTGAAGTCACTACCCATGAAGAGTGTCACTGACAGCATTGATGTCTGCTTCAAGAGTAAAAAAAGTACGCCTTTCTTCACTTTTATATATTAACAAATACTATATATAATAATAAATAATAGTTTTAGATCTAGTTTTAAGTAAATGTTACATCCGCACTTTTGTCATGAAATATAATGTCTTATCGCGTGTCTTTCACGTAAAATTATTCAAACTTAGAAGACATTATTTAAGGGGTCGTTTGTGGTTGTAATGACAAAAAGCAAGTTTTTTTGAAATTTCTCAGAAAAAACTGTTATACATTTATTTTCACAATAATTTTTCTATTTAATAAAGGCACGTTTAAAATTTCAGGAAAATTTAGTTAAAATATTACTTTATCTAATTTTTAATGGAAGTATGTTAAAAAAAAATCATTTGGGGCCAAATTTAAGATGTTGACAATTAAGTGACCGATTTTCATGTTAAAAAAGCGCTTTTCTTTCGACCATAAAAGAAAATCTGAGCATTGCAAAATCAAATCCTTCGATCGAAGACAACATTTTTATAACTAAAATAAACCCTACCAATTTTGATCGGATTCGTTCACTGGTTTTTGATTAATCGTGGTCATCGACTATGAGAATGTCGTTTTAAAAAAAGCGCGTTTAAAAATTCAAAATTCAATTTACACGTAGAACAAATCTTATTAGAGTCGTCTCTTCCAGGTCCATAGAGTACACATTCTGCTGCCATTGTCCGCCTCCTGAAAATCAATTTGACTCTGAATTTAAACAAAATTTCAAACCACAGACGACCCCTTAAAACACCAGAACTTGAAAACTGTAGTGGTAGTAAAGTTACGCTCCGTAGTGCATGTGTGTATCACTTTGTATTTCTCATCTCATACGAGTAATATCAAAATCTAAACATACGGGTAACACGTCAATTAAATCATTTCTGGGTATTGCGTGTGGGTCCAACAATAAAGTGAACAAAAAAAAAGAAAAGAATTCATCGGCCAGGGTCGATTTCGCCATGATGGGAATATCATACGTGCCATTGTACCCGGCAGCATTTCCCTTATTTGTATTCTGTGAGGAAGAGCATGATAGGAGCCAATGGAGAAATCACAAAAGAACAGTACAGATAAGTCACGTTCACCTTGACGGAGTTTCGGCCAGCTCTATAAAAGAGACGTGCACCTTCTTAGTGGCCACAGTCAAAGCCACAGTCGCAGTCAAACCGCACAAAATGTCTCGTTCGATCTTTGCTTTCTTCGTGGCCCTGGCAGTGCTTCAGGCCGCCTCTGCCGTCGACATTTCCAAGTACAAGAGCGTTCGCTTGGAATTCAACGAGAGTCATATGGTACTCAAAACGAAACTGGTGAGCGATTACAACATTCTTCAGTGATACGATCGGTCACTCATGGAAACAAATGAATTATAATGTTATCGCTGGATTTAAACAACATTTACACGCATTGCATCGGAAATGGTGGTACAACCGCGAGGGCGCGATTCTTCGTAAAAAATTGAGACGAATAGTGGAAATGAAGGTTTCTCATATCGTGATCTTAATAAGTAAAACTCGTAACTACATTTGACGGAACTTTACAGGAGAGAAATAAAATTGTCTAGAATTAATTGAACTTATTATATTACAGAAAATAAGTAAGTTTTTTGAACTGTATTTGATTTACAGGAATTGCGGAATTATTTAGGAAAATGGAAGGAAATTAATTATTAAATGAATTGTTAAGACATTACGATTTTGTTTGTGCGACTGACCAGCACTTACTGATTCTACTTGTTGGTAGCTTCGTGAAAGGTACAACTATGTTGTCTAACATCTATGTATTTCATTAAAATTTCTTTTAAATTAAAATGTACAAATTACAAATTGTTTAGAGAATATTTTATCACGGACTGTCAACGATTTTTCTTTTTCGTTTTAGTAATTCAACTAAGCAATAAATGCCATATATTTTTATATTTTCCTGTCAAGCTCAGCATCTTATAACTAATAGTTTGCATCACATAAATCTAGCTGCATTACAGATTTTTCTAAACATTAACACAAGTTTAAACAATAAATGATGATCAAATTCATTACAAGGGCTAATATAGAAAACATACGAAATCTAGGAACTTGTAAAAACGCATTTTCTAAAAATGATATATCCTGTACAAGAATTTCGTTCCCCATTTTCAATTTACGATTGTGTCATTCGCCATTGTACCACGATTTTCAATGACCCCTGCACATAAATTCTGCATGATATTAAAAAGAAACATATGTATATCACGCAGTGAATAAATTTGATCATTGTACGATGAATCTGAAAAAAAATTAATGACTACTGATTTTCTTCTGGATAATGTAGAATTTTTACAACAAAATGACAATGAAATGCTTTATTAAATTTTCTTGACATATGCCTATTTTTTAAAATATACATTAGAGTTATCAAAAAAATCGTTTTTCCCACGTAAAAGAATTGATAAAAATATTTGAAAAGTTTTTCATTCTCAATACATTCGATGTCCAATAAATTAATAAAAATGTTGTCGATACGACAATTTAAATATAAATATGCTTCATTATTTCAAAGACTGAAACGACATTTCATATGCATCAAATGAATACAGAGTATTCTATATTAAAAAAAATTGAAATAAAAACTGAAATGAACAATATCGAGCTTCGATGAAACTGTTTTGTTGTTCGATGAACCACGTAAAGCTCCGTAAACAATTCTGTATCGAAGCCGGAAAAATATTCATTTATTTTCACGTGAAACGGATCGTTCTACTTTAACATGTAAGTTTTTAAATGTTTACTGTATCATGTTTACGACAGCTTGGTGGGGGTGACGAGCGTGCATCCGGATTTATTGGGGACTTATTCGTCGGCCAACGTTATGCTGACGAAATAGTTTTCCGGCGAGTGGTGGAATTCGACAATCCCACGAACACAGTTCAAACCACTTCATTGAACCTGTCTATCACTAATGGTAAACTTTTTCATTCCATTATAAACTTTAATACCCCATGCACAATTTTTCACGATCAGTGTCATCGATAGTCACAAGCAAAACTGTTACCGATCTACTAAACTTCATAAAGTACAGACGACAAATTAATGGCAAATATCTTCTTCAGAAGGATGTAATTTACAATCTCACGGCTTCGTTAAATGATATTTTGATATCATCAAAATATAAACGAGCACATAGAGAAAAACGCGTAGTACTAACAAGTTTCTCATATCGAGTGACCTATTCTAAACTTCCAGAGTGGTGAAAAACTTCCTGATGGCCTATGTATTTCAAAACGTTTCTGAGTCAGTAACTCTGCCAAAAAAAGATGTAAAGAAGGATCTTTTTAATGAATATCTAGAGACTTATAATCTTCGTAATGAATATCTAGAGACTTATAATTCATTCGTGATACAGTTCGGGATACGAGTAGGGAAAAGGTGTCTCAAACGATCCCTTTAAGGCGTAATTTATATAAAAAATACAAATGCTCATTCTTTAAATGAAAGTAAAGTAGTTTTTGTAGGTTAGTCTATCTATCTTACCATTGACTTAAATAAAATTTAGCTACGTGATCAATTATATTTTTTATTTACATTTCTTTGAAGACGTACTTAAGAATGATTTTCTAATGTATATGTATAAAATGATCCCCGGGGATCATTTTATACCTACAGATAGTGAATACGACGAACATTAAAAAGCATTGGAAATAATTCGAAAAGGATTTGAAAAGCATTCGAACATAATAGCAAAAACAGCTTCGACGCGTTGTTTTCCTTTCATACTGACGGGGTATTGTAACTAAAATAAAAAACACTAATATAACATATGGGTGAAATGATTCATGGGATCATTTTATCCTACTGATCCAAACTCCCAACTCACATTCAGTGGTTGATTATAACATCAACTTATGACATGCGGTAACGAAACATTAATTAACTTATTATTGAATTGTGGTTAAATCCGCGCAAGAAGCAACTGTCACATTAAATCGTTTATGACAAAAATTACACAACATTGAAGAAGACCTTATCTTATTATAATTTTAATCTTTTCTTGTGGACAACACACAGAGCACTGATATTCACATGGCACTTCGAGCAACGACTAGTGACGTGCGAGAAGAACTATTGCAGAAGGACATTATGATATAGCACCGCTAATAACCACAGGGCAGCCAGGAATCATTTTACCCCGAAGGATCGTTTTAGACACCTTTCCCCTACATAAGAAGTATTTTTACGATTCAGTCTATCGTCTTCTATTCAGTCCAGTTCAACCGGTTACTACGCACGATCGATCGTTTTTATAAGAAACATATAAACTACCGAAAGACGATGCTTCTTGTGATTTATGGGACGACAATCTTCCCGTAAACAGAAGTGATTATACGAGTGTTCTTTCGCAGGTGTTATCCACTACGTGAGCGCAAGAAACAATCCAGGTAGCTACGCGGTGGCTTGCAACGATCCATCCAGTCTAGGATCATCCCAGAGCAGCATTCACCTTCGAGTGCCACCTAACTCGAAGTCCATGTTAACTTTGACCATCGCTGCGCATAATCAAGTGTACAGTTTTCTATAAATCCGAATTAAGGTTAATTGAACGGGTTAGATAACGCTCACGGCGTATTTGTCCATCCTATCAATTTGAAATGTTGATCTGCCTATTGTATCTGACGACACTTTATCGTGGAATATGTAACGTTGATAACTATGGACCACGAAACAAGGAATTCATCGATTATTGCGTTCAATTAATGGATCTTTATGTTGATTTTAGATAGATTAAGTTATGTAGTTTTATGTAAGGTAGAATAAGAAAAAAAAAATAAATGTTGCATTCTTTCTAATATGACCTGGTCTTTGAAAATATCCATTACCAAGTTCCTCGTTCATAAGCACGGAAGATGAGACTTTTAACAATTTTTGTCCACCCAACTGAAATTTAAAGGACAAGAAATATATGAAATTATTTTATTTTTGATGACAGACGTTTATTATTAATCGTGATCGACTCTGTAAATTAAAATTCTTATTGCTGTTTTTGAAATCGAAGCGGTATACTGCAATTCAAATTTTAATCTATTCCTTTTGATTGCCAAATTTAGCGTGTATATCATGTTTCTATACATATGTATTAAAGAATGCTCTCTTCTATGAAAATATTTAAAATTCTAATTAAATATTCACAGGAAAGTTAACTTACAATTTCCTCTATTCCCTTAAAAATGGCTTTATTCAATTTTAATTACTCAGAAATTATATTATATACAGTCGGAATAATAACTAAACTGCGTACGTTCACATAAATTTCTATTTCTGTAGAACCAAAATGTACTTTCTAAGAACAACATTAAGAGTTACTGACTTTAACATACGGTTTTGTTTATTATTTTCGTTCCCACACTAATATTCCATGTATCCACAATTTCAAATTATTATTAGCTGTACGTATAAAATTTTTCTAAATTTGCATAAATAAATGAAAAAACCTTACATGAGTATAGAATAAGGTACTCATTCTTGTTTATAATCTTTTCTGACCTTAACGTTAGAAAATATTTAGTAACACATACAATGAACTTAGTAATCCGTAATAGTTTTCTACAATTAAAAATATGAAGACAAGTAAAAATAATCAGTGAAATATTCTGAGATAACTCACATAAGTAGCCCTTAGAATTCAGAAAGACATAGCCAAAACGTGGTTCCTGGTAAGTTACCTGAAACAAAAATTCTCTTTTAATTGTACGTGTCAAGTTGAAAGAAAAGTAGGTTGTGAAATATGAAGTAGATTGTACGTCAAATATTTTATCGTTTAATGCGATATTTGGACTTTCTTTCCAGAGTTTTTTGGAAGAGTAAAACATTTCGTCATATAGTTGACACGAACGCACTTCTATCAGAAAGAAATGATGACAATGCAACAGTGATACACTTTCATTATGAGAATATCATGTGGTAGCTGCAAGAAATACAAGAAAACCAAAGTGACAATAAAAACAAGAATATATAAAGAAAATTCATCCAACATTAAATTTTTGTAACTACATATAAATGTTATTATGATTCACACAAATTTTTTTCACACAAAATAAACTCAAGGAGAAGCTTGAACTTTCTAAAGTAATGCATATATTTCATTAATTAATAATGAACAAATTCATTAAAAATAAACAGTTGCCAGTAAAATTTATGTTTCCTACATTATTACTGTTCTAACCTTTTTTTTAATCATTCACTATTATTTTTATTATTCACTATCTTTTCGCCTTCAATTTCAAAACATAAGATAAAATGTAGCTAATAATACTTATGTAATTTGTATACAAATATTAATTCTTTACTCGTACATTTTTAAGCAGTTTCACTATACTTTACAAATATAATTGTACATTGAACGTAAAATTTTGTACAATTATATTTTGCACAGTTCGATCGTTATCATTTAAACATTAATTCTCGAAGATACTCGTTTTAAGAGATTGTCGATACTGGAAGTTGGTCACACCAATAGAATGTCTTTTATAAAATTTGCACTAATTACAGTGATTAACTGGCAGTAAGAGCCTTCACTATGCGCAATTAGCCTTGCGTAACGAGCACCCAAACAATCCCACAAACACATCACGTTCGCAAACGCAACATGCGCGCATAACGACGATTGTATGCGTAACAGGTGAGCACCCGGACAAATGCAAATTTCACGGATACTATTTTCATCATGTCGAGTCAGCACAGACTTTTATGTCCCTTTGAACACTGCTGATTCATAAATACAGGTCTTGTGTAGCAACTGCATTTTAATGAATCACCAATTTGTGAACAATGACGAGTGAAACGACTTCACTTAACGTCAAAACAACAACGTAAGGAAAGACTGACGACTGTTTAATAAAAATGTACATTATTTGATTTGACAATACAATATTCTAACATAAAATTTTCAGAAAAGGACTTCTGAAATGAACTAAATTTCATTTCATCTACTGTTTTCCTCCTTTCAAAAATTTCGCCATAAATTATATTTCTCTATTTATTTCGCTATTATAACTTTAGAATGTTACTCCCTGAAATCAATCAAATTTTAAGTAATCAAAATATAGTTCACTAATTGTTTTCTAACCTGTTAACTGGCGAAGACTAGTTAACCGAGTATTTGTCTATATGTTTTATTATAACATACTCTTTGTGTTAAAATAAATTACATCGTAAGCCTGTTTATTGCAAGATAAATCACACTGGATTAGTTTCATTCATCTCTGATGGCACTAACATGGCCACACGCGATGAAAAGTTTATTGGAAAACAAGTTAAATTTGAAGAGGTATTATGTTACATTATGAAATTCATGTCACTGTATTGCTGGCTTTGAAAAATCTATGAATAGATTAAGAGATTATTAATTACCTTAACTGTCTTTGATTAAAATACGTAGACACTAAAGCAGTTATTCTATGTATAAAACAATGAAATCCACATTGGTCATTAAATATTGATCGTATAATTCTTACTGTTCTTCTGAAGGAATACAAATTTATTTGCAATCCTACTATTCGATCAGTATAATCGAACAAAGTACAAGGATAAAGAGAGGGCGTACAACGAACCACTTTTAGCAAAGAGACGACGACGCGACGACCCGTTGTAAACAGCAATAAGAATCCCTTAAGAAGCCTAGCCACAGTTGAACAGAATCCCCTTGACTCTTATTACGGAAATAAACTCGACCAGTAAATTACTCTCCTTTAGAAGCGATATCTCAGTGTTCACGATTTACCTACGGTTGCACCTTCCAATATTCACACCAATTGTCACGCAGCTACCTCGATAAACTGGCGTTCAATTGAGTTTCAAGATATAAGACCCCGAAAAAATTACAACATTTGGTAACAAATTTCGGCGAATTTATATATAAATCATTTATTGTTAATCTGAACAATAATTCCATAAGATCACCTTCAATGTAATCTTCTACCCTTATACATTTTTAAAATCGTTTTTACCAATATTCGAAAGTGACATGGTCTAGCCCCTCTTGCGATATCTTAATTATTATATAAGACTTAATTATGTGGATATAGTTATTGCCCCACCCTGTATACACTGCGGGGCGTAACTATAAAACCATCCTAAAATTTTTAATTCTTACGTATGGGTGGTTAACATAAAAACAAATCAAGTATTCCATGTCTAATATTATTTTGAGAAATAATGTGTCTCCAGAAAAGGATATATTATATTCCCTAGAAAAAAACTGGTTCGTTTTTATTTTAAGTACAACATATGTATAAGGATTGAAAATTTTAGGGTGGTTTTATAGTTCTGCCACACAGTGTCTAACAACCTTTGATTCGAGAATCCTTTGATCAAACTGTGTATGTACATTTACAATTGAAAACTACCTATTAATCGTCGAATGTAAGAAGCTCAGCTCTAAAACGACACTGTTGCAATTTTCGAGCAAATCTGACACTACAGTTGGGGCAACCCAAAATAAAATGTAAATATTTTAAATACTATTGAACATTTTTGAAAAATTATCTCTCTATTCTTCGCTACAAATTTTTAGAAACAATAACTACAGCATGTTCTTTTCATTAAAAAAAAAGTAATCAAAATATGGAAGTTATTTTGAACTCTATGGTAAAAGGGTCTTCGTTCAATGCACTTTCTGAATTTGATGGTGTCGTTGGCCGCCCCACATTGTCGTTCTAGGGTTAAAATAGTCGCCGCTAGGTCAAATAGTAAAAAGGGCACTCCGTCCTTTAATTCCATAGTAAAGTTAAATTCAATAAATTCGTCGTACGAACTACATTGAACGACAGAAATAAACTGCGTATCAATAACTCGAGGGTTCCAACGAAAGAGCCCTTAACGAAACTCTAACTTTCCGAAAACGTAGCGCCATGAAACGGAGGTGTATAAGCCCCCGGACTTCGGGGTCGTTACAGACACCATAAACTTTGCATAGCTTTTCCCCAGCCTCTACTCGACCTTTAATTTCACCGCGTGAAATGGTACGTCCGTTCGCGACGTGGCCGAGGTCGCTTCCGGTGGTGCAATTACTTGGAGCCTGTCGGTGCGGAGAAACGACCGTACTTTTCCACCTTTCACGGTTAAGAGTGCGGCGTTAATAGTTGTGGCGCGGATGTATTGTTCCTTGGCACACCCTCCACCCACCACCACTTATACTTGCATTGTAACTAGAGGTAGTGATGTTTGCACGATTCCGATGGCCAACCGTACATGCTAATGGCGTTCTGTTTAAGAAGGACCTCGTACTCTTGTCATTCGAGGCGGACGTGCAGAAAATTTACTAACGAACTGAACCGACAGAAGCTACTTTATTGACAAACAATTATGGGCACTCGATCTGAGTCGAATTTTTCCATAGATTGACAAACTATAGGAAATAGATGTCAATAAGCGAAAAAAAATTTCGATGACCTTGGATCGACCTTCAAGATGACCTTGGGGGACTTTGTTCATCATCACGTGATGCGTATCCTCAAACCGTATAAACTTCTCTTAACCTATTAAGAACGAAGTAGTGAAATAATACGGTTTTTACACAAAATATCTTTTATTCTTCGCAAAATTACATAAGTGGACAAGGAAATAGTGACGAAAAAAATTATTACGAAACTCCCTGGAATTTCATTTCATAACCACAATGTTAAAAAGTGGAATTGAATAATGTAAACTGACTGAAAAAATTGCAAATGGAATGTTAATTAGACCCCTTTCCCCTTCAGCGGCCGGAAAGGAAGGTATTTAACATTTAGGTATAACTAATTTTCACTTAAGGTAACTAATTTCTTTTAAAGAAAGCAAAGA